CACAATTTATGTTAAAACAAAATAATACTTGTGTTATTTAAATGTACTTCATTCATTATTTTTGCTATTAGTAATTGGTTGATAATAATTATACAGTATACCCTCAAACATAAAAAGGCGCGAATGCAACATGAGTGCAACCTGTGGAAGTTGATGGATATGATAGTCTCGGTCTCAAAGCGCACATCAGTTGTGGTCTCGTATGAGAAATATTGTGTTAATAATGGCTGTAATTGAAGGCAACATTTAATTAAACACAACAATCGAGAGATATTATTAAAGTTTTTAATTACATTTACAAGTTTTAAAAAATATGACCTGATTTTTAGTTTAATTTTTTTTAATTTATACATTGTATTGTATTTGATCTTAATTAATAAACTCGCAATATTCTTACATTACACGAAATGACCATGAACTTAATAATTTGCAAAAATAATAAATGAAGTACATTTAATTTATAACACAATTTATGTTAAAACAAAATAATACTTGTGTTATTTAAATAATAAACTGTATTAACTAATGTATAAATATCGGTTTTATCTGAAAGGATTATTATTTTAATTATTCTGATATTTTGCATAATTATGTTAATTATTTTGTTTACTATTAAAATGGGTACAAATTGCGACATAAAATGTTTTATTAATTCTATACACAATATATAATTATTTTCAAATAAACAATCAATATATGGCATAAATGTAAAAATATTGTGTAAAATAAAATTATTTGTTGATACAGACAAATCTCTCTTAATTAAAAGTGCTGTTATATTAAAAATGTGATTTATACTTACTAGTAATAACTTGTATAGAAATTATACTGTATTTTTAAAAAACAATGTGCAATAACGAACGGAATGTTTTAATGTGATTAGATAAATACTTCACATAATGTACTAAATTTTATATTTTCTAAATCATAGCAAATTAATTTTTAACAATATTAATAAATATTAAATTAAAAAACATAAGGCACTCTCCCACGAGCCATAGTCATGAGCATGCTTAAAAATAGCTAATCTCAGCAAATTAACCTTGATTTTATAAGTGTCATAATTTATACATAATATTATATTAATTCCTGATATATTAAAGATATGCCATGTACTCTTAAGCCTTTATTTTTAAATTAAATCACGTTATTAGTAAATCCGGGTAAAATTAATCTAGATAAATTTGCCGCAACTGTGAATTATCAGTTAAATTCTCATGGATTACTTGCATTTCATTTTAAAACATTGATTAATTTTAGTATAAATACCCCATAATCATAATTAAAAATAAATAACACTGTATTATATAATTTATTAAGTTATATAATAATAATTTACTTAAAAACATGAAAATAGCGGTTATATTGTCATTGATTTGTGTCTGTTTTGCGGCACAAAACAAGAGTGCCTCACAGAATGCGGCAGATCTTGGTTTCAAGACATTTGAACACGAATTCAATAGTTTCAAGGTATGTATACAAATATAACAACCTATATGAAAATACCCAATAATTAACATAAACATACTTAACCCTCGCATGTAATTCATAGATAAATCACAGCAAACAGTACTCGACAGCCGAGGAGGAAGAGCAGAGAAAAGTGAATTTTTTGCAAACATTGCAAAGGATTGAAAAACACAATGAGTTGTTTAAAAGAGGTCTGGAATCATATGAAAAGGGTGTCAATCAGTTCGCAGACTTGGTATGCATTTTGTTAAAGTTATTAACCAAACATTTAAGTAAAAATTTAATTGTAATTAATTCACGTTTGTATTCAATAGACTGACGCAGAATACCAGTCGATGTTTGTAATGCCCGACCCAACAGAGCATAAGCCAGCGCTGGCCGAGCCATACATCGCCGACCCCGAGTCCCTGTCATCGGCGCCACAGAGTTTTGATTGGAGATCATCGGGAAAAGTGACTTCAGTTAAGAACCAAGGTGGTTGCGGATCGTAAGTATTTTACCATAATATACTGTGCAAGTTATTAACTTGCGTCAATTATCAAAATTATCTATATCAATTTATTAAATGCACAATTCTAATTACATTAAAACTTTTTACTTTCTAAATGACCAGGTGCTGGGCGTTTAGCGTATTGGCTACCCTAGAATCGGCATTCCTGATCAAACACAACCAAAACCTGGACCTATCGGAGGAGCAACTCGTCGACTGTACAAACAGCCGGTGCGGCGGCCAAACAGTGGACAGCGCTTTCAAGTACGTTCAGGCCCACGGGGTCGAGAACGAGGGCCAGTACCCATACACAGCCGGCTCCGGGCATTACAACAATTGTGGAGACCAGCCGTCGGCCCCACACACCCATATACAAGGCTACCGTGGGTTGGGTCACGCCGTGGGTCCTAATTTGGCCACCGATCAGGAGATAATGGCCGCCATTCAGGCCAACGGCCCCGTCTCTATCACGTTCAACGCCGCCGGCAATGACTTCCGTGACTATAAGTCGGGTGTATTGGCCAGTAATGACATGGGATGGACCGCCGCTCACGCCGTGATCATCACCGGTTGGGGTACTGAAGGCGGTCACGATTTTTGGGAGATTAAGAATAGTTGGGGCGCCGGCTGGGGTGCTCAGGGTTATATCAAGTTGGCCCGTGGTCAGAATTTGAGA